ACGTTGATAAACACAATCTCTGTTATGTTCAGTAGCTTTTGTCATTTAACCTGAATCTCTGAAATAAGCCAAGGCATAGTACATGTTGAAAACAAATAAGAGGGAAAAAACAGTGACATAAATAAAGTCATTGTCCCTGTAGTTGGAATGAGTAGGGTGTGGATGTGATGAGGACAGGAGCAGAATCATGGACTTTCTGGATTTCCCCAAAGATCAGGGATCAGATCCTCTGGTTKTGTCTGCCCTCCAATGCAGAAAAAAAGAAAAACGTGTCCAGAACTGTTACACTGCTTAAATGATCATATTAGTGCCTAAAAAGCAGTCTGGAGATATAGTGTATTAATCACTTTAGTATCTCACAAAATAGATGTACAGAAAAACTCCCGGTAAACAGTGATCATATTAACAGCATTAATTATTAAGGCTGGGTGATGGAACATGTAACCTCTTGAGTCCAGCCTATCTATGATTCATTAATTTCTGAGTATAAAACATCCTTGTTGGCTACACATCTTATTTGGCATAAATAGTAATTAGTTAATGTGGTTTTGTTGTGGCATGAAGGATGACTCGTTTTCACATGACCTCTTGACCCAACAGGTGATGATTTCTCTCCAACTGAACTTTGTTTGAAAAAAGTTGTCTTAGAGTCAGATTCTATCACCATCGTTGATCTGTCCTTGTCTGCAGATAATGCTGACATGACAGTCTGTTTAATCTTGTGTGATTCATTATTAAAAACAGGATCATTAGATTTCTGTGACATGGTTTTCCTTTTTATTGTTGTTTTATTTCAAGTGTGTTTGATCATACTGTGAACTGAATATTAATCTAAATGTTGTTAACTTTAACATCCAGTGTTAAATGTAACTGATTGTTATTCTCTTCCTTCCCTCCTGAGCCATCCTGTCGGACCTAAAAATAAACAAATTCACCTTATTCCAGAAAATTTTACTGTTTTTAAAAATAGATATTTTTTGTTTTTTCTTTAATTTGTACAAGCATCGGTGTCTCTTAAATTATTGTATTTAATCATCTTTTAGATTTCTTTTCACAAGTCATTTTTATTTCTATGTGTTGTTTTTATTTTTCTCTGTCTCCTGTTTTTACTTTACCCTGTGCATTTCTACCTCATCATGTAAATAAGGTGGGCGGTCCTTCCACTTGTCATCCAATCCAGTGATATACAATATTTCAATGGGAACACTATTAAACATCATCATTTGGCCTTGTGGCATTAACAAAATGTTGCCAATATTTTTTAAATGATAAAAACTAAACAGACTACAATATTTTTTACTGTCTGTTTTACAGTTGAAGTAAATGTTTATCAAATAATGTCTAATGTCACAACTAGTAGGGGTTCCCTTTAAAGCCCAAGTTCTCACAGGACAATGGGTTTATCTTTAGCAGGGTCAAACACTTTAAAGCAGGGGTGCCCAAACATTTTCCCCGAGGGGGCCAAAATGAAAATCTATCCAGGGCAGCGGGCCAAAAACAGTAATATAATACATGAAATACAAATACTTTTTAAAGTAAAGTCCCTTATTTTTTAATGATTAAGCTATGCAATAGCCCTATTTTGTTTTAGTCTGTGCACTTGGAGAAAGTCTGCCATACGCTCAAGTAGGAAAGGCTCATGGGACATTTCATAAATTGATAAAATACGAGTTTTTGTGGTCTTATAAAGTGTGCAAATATACAGTACATGTGTGGTTAAATCTGAACAAAATATTTCTTGTCATTTCATGTTTCACGTTTAATCCTAAAAAAATCAAAGATAAAGTCAGCACAATGAACGAAAACTACCTTCACTACCTTTTATATAAAAGGGCTGTATACAGCCCTTTTATATACAGTTGTGGTCAAAAGTTGACATACACTTGTAAAAAAACATAATGTTATGGCTGTCTTGAGTTTTCAATAAGTTCTACAACTCTTATTTTTCTGTGATAGAGTGATCGGAACACATACATGTTCGTCACAAAAAACAGTCATAAAATTTGGTTCTTTCATAAATTTATTATGGGTCTGCTGAAAATGTCACCAAATCTGCTGGGTTAAAAATATACTGTACATACAGCAACATTAGTATTTGGTTACATGTCCCTTGGCCATTTTCACGGCAACTAGGCGCTTTTGGTAGC